AAAGTTGTGTTAAGAGACGAGTTTTGGACAAACAAGTTGCTAGTAAAGCTGAGTTAGGTTTGGGTTTGGTGGGGACCTGGATAACGGCAGAATGAATAAAGCTTGCAAAATGCCTCAAGGTGTTCAGAAGCAGGAGAATGAGGGAACTAGAGCAAGCACAACAAATTTACACAATAAAAAGGGTGGGGCCAATGAGCTTCCGGATCTGCCAGCGGCCGCTGTCGGAATACAGCGGGGATTCCTCGACCAACACGCTCATAGCGTTAATTGAGGAATCAGCTCTATTTTTTTGCGCTCTGCCCACGGGTTGAACGAAAGACAAAAAAAATTATAGGAGCAGTGTATGGAGAGCTTAAAAGTAGAAATAAACTCTCCATTGTTTTTGCATATATCTACTGCTAACAAGCAGTAGATATATGCAAAAACTTTTTAAAAAAAAGAAAAAAGAAGTTACCAAAAAAAGGCAAAAACTTACCTGTGATGCACACAAAAAGAGCTTACCAGATACGTCAGGCCAGCTCATCTGAGGAAAGGGTTAGGCCTCATCATAAACAGCAGGTACAACACTGATATGCTCCTCCAACGTCTTCTGCTGAATACAACTATAACTAGTCCTCCATCAGGGAATCCCCCCCACACACATCTCATGATCTCTCAACTTAATGCTCAACTTGCCAAGATACTGACACTACACCAAATGTTTATCAGCTAATAAAATGTTTGTTTTTTTTCCCCACCAACTTTGTATTGTACAATGTAAGAAAGAAAATGAGAGGGGATCGGTCACCACCAGGACAGGAAGCCTCAGGCAGTAATAACTAGACAGAGGTTTTAATCCCTTTATATTTTACTGAGAAAAAGTGTTTTGTTGCAGCCAAAACCTATCAAAACTTTTGGCTAGAGTTGGGTTTTAAGGATATTGGGCAGAGCCATGTAAATAATTTATATATACTTCATGTGGCTAACTCTGCATATGGAACCAAAGGTGTGCACCACAAATGCAGCCTAAATTTACAGAGTATTTATATTCCAGTTTGGGGAATGGTGGAAACCAGTTATTACAGCAAATCAACTTAGGGTGAAGTGGGCATAAAGGAACCAACCTTTCCCAACATTTAATGATCATGGTCAAAATGCCCAAAACAAAAGTATACAAGTTGAACCATAAAAAGCCCAATGTGGTGTTCTTAGTGAGATTAAGAAAAGGCACAGGTCCATTGAGTTCATCGAAAAAAATAAAAATAAAATACAAACAACCCACATACAAACTCCAACCATCAACCCCCTTATATACAGACCTGTATGAGTTGTCATTGAGACCCAAACAATGAGTAAGTAGGCAGTGCTGGATTTACTTTGTTAGAAAATTCTGCAAGCTTCCAATTCTGAAGCACCATTGTAAAACAAATTTTTTATTAAGATAAAAAGAATGAAAAAAAACTTAAAATTTCACTTTGTAAGTTGTTTAAAAAAAATGTAAACAAAAGTGAGCAAAAAACATGATAGCTTCCCTATAAATCAAGACACAATATGATAATTTTTCCATTTGAACAAAATCTTGTGACCAACAGCATTTAAAAAATCAATAATTTTTATAAAAAATAAGAAAACCAACGTCTTGGTTGCAGAAATACATTACAAGATCCAGACAAAACATTTTTTATTACTGTAATTTGCCGCCACCACCATTCACGCTGAGATGGCACAATGATTACCAACTGAGTGAGAAATGTTTCTGCTCATGGAGTGGATTCTCAATCATAAAAAGTACTAATCATGCCGTCCAGCAGGAGATCTTGACCGCTGCTTGTGTGTAATAGCAGTGGTCCAAATTTCCTGATAAAAAGAAAGTAAAAAAAGAGAAAATATTTATTACTGTATAAGCAGCCTGACTGCATTTCAGTAAGCAGTTAAAGAAGAACTCTAGGAATTTTTTTTTAATTTACCCTTGCAGTGGGGCTATGCTGCACTGCAAGGGTTAAGTGCTCGTTTGTGTCTAGGTAAAAAAAAAAAGCTATAATCACCTGAAGCTCCAAGCCTGGTTCTTCTTACACAGGTCCTTCCAACGTCTCTCCCCCTCCTCTGCAGTGGTCTTAGGTCCTATAAATCATTAAGTCTATACACAAAGTATAGACGCGAGGATGCTGAGAAAGATTCCAATGCTGCAGTGAGGGGGAGACAGGCTGGAGGGAGTGCAGTGACAGCTGGCCGGCTCGGAGCTTTGAGTGAGTATAACAGCAGGCTGGCATGGCAGAAGATAGCGCGGTCAGTAAATGTAAGAACACGGTACTGTCAGTACACATCACTAGAAGATATCACCTTTCACAATGTGACTACACTTGTATATCAGAACACGTCATCTTCCACTGCATAGTGTGGACACTTACCATTTTGAACCATTAGTGAAAGAGGTAAGGGTCACAGATCATTAGGCTGTAGGTGTTCAATACTCTAGGAGGAGCACTGGCAGTGCTCATTATTTAAGGTTCTGTGTGTTTCATGGCTGCTGTTCATTTTCCAGGTAAGGTGTTTGATAGGTTATTGGTGTTGGTGGAGGAAGAGGTGAAATGCAATGGGTGGTAATATGTGGGTTGTAGGGGGTTACCCTGACATGGTGGTCTGGATAAGTGATTCCAAAGAAGAAGCTCTTGGTGGGTTAAACTATGCTTCATCCATATATTGATTGGAAGCACAACTTTCCAATTAGGACTTAGTATCCAAGTTGCTGAATGCCCAAAATGTAGAGTGGCAGTAACTTAGACATTGGTTGACAGGGAGGGTTCCACACCAAGGACTGTGGTGGAGAACATGACAAGAGCATTGGTGAGCTGTATCTGCATCTTTTTGCCTGTATATAAATGACCTTGGTCTACAAAGTGGTGAAGGTAAGACTGTCATACTCATCAGCTGTGTATCTGCTCAGGAGAAACACATTGATAGTTTCCCCCCTTATTTTGTGTGAGTTGTGAGGGAGGGCAGACAGGCCAATCTAGAACACTGCAAGGAGGAAAGGTAACAAAAAGATCGCTAATATTGAAAAATACAATATGCAAAACTCTTGCGATGTAGGAATGAACCATAAGGAATAAGCCAATTTCAGTGGGTGGGATATATACGGTTTCATTTTTCTTCTTAAGTGCTATAGAGTCTGTTTTAATATTAAGAGTATGGCATGATTCACATCAAGTAATAGGTCACATATCAAAATTTACAAACATTATTATTTTGAGCTAAAAAGAATACCTATCCTTGGTAAAAATTAAACAAAAAACACTGTTCCATTATGATACCTTAAGCCCAGATAACATGATCTACTGTTACCAACAGTGTTTTTTTCTATCATTAGCGACTGCAGAAAGTCTATGGTTTTCAATCACATTGACCATTGTAGACTTGCTGTAATGCAAAAGGACTGGCAAAGTAAATTAGGAAGCCAGTGCAAGTGACAAGTAGTAGCCTGAAATATAATAATATACTAGGCAAAGGTTTTAAAACAAACACCGATTGACATGATCTTTTTCATGTATACGTAAAGATATTACAAAGACTGAATTTATTCTTTAGAGGAAGTTTAGTAGTCATGAAGAGTTCTTCCTTTAAAGTCATAACTTGGATCCCTCTAGTGGTCATAACCAAGTTATTACTATATAAAACATTTCAGTGTTTATCTCATGTCACAAAAGAAAATATAGGGACCCAAAAAAGGCTAATAGACCCTTCCCTTTCGCTTTCAGTTTAACAGAGAAGAAAATGAGAGAAGCTACATGTAGAGATACAATCATTTTATAAAGACTTCACATGATTTGCACCAAAACGTTCAAAGATATCCCTGAGGATAAATCTGGTAAAGCTCTGTAGATCTGACAAAAAGCTGTACATGAAATTCAATTAAGACAGCGTTATCTTTCTTCCTGCAATGTACTTTGCATCTTTGTTTTGCATTGTTTAATGAAATTCCCATTTATACCATTTCTTTACAAAGGTGGCCTTCTTCCAAAATCACACAACTAGAAAAAAGTTAAGTTTTTAAGGCAATAATTATAAATGAAAATGACATTTATTGCATTGATTTGGAGCTGCAGTCCCATTCTTTCCAATAGGTAACTGTATTTAGGGTGGCCTGCAACTGTCCAGCACAGAGTATGGCTCACCCCATAGGAATGAGTGGGGTCATGATTTCTATGCCTAGGAAAAAGAGGAGCTGGCAGGAAGGAAGGATGTGCAGAATCAGGCAGTGAAGTTCGCTGAAACCTGGGCAGAGGTAAGTTTTGGACCAGGTAGGCTGCAATTAGGAAGGGAGGGGAGGAGGCATGCCTTAAAAAGGACAACTTGTGGCAAAGGTACAGTTGTCCTTTAATGAAGATCTGCAGCTTTAGACAAAAAAAACAACACATAGCCATGCAGTAAATATTTTCCATGGCTTTCCGCTAGGGAGGTGGATACAGGGAGTCATGTAAACTCCAGCATTCAAGCACCTCTAGGAAGGCCTTTTTTTCCTACTAATGCTACAGATCATATACATTGTACATGGAGAGCACTACTCAAATTGTAAAGAAAAAGAGGATTCACATCTGTAGGGAACCAAGTTATGCCTGGTTTTATCTAGTTTTGTATGGCTCAGACCTGGCTGCACTCTGACTATTATTCACTTGCGTTGGTGTGCACTGATGTGAAATACAGTGCATTGCAATGCATTAAACCGTGGGTTTATGTGCAGTTTGAACATCCATCGATATCAAAACACATTAGGCAAAAACAGAGAAGTGTTAATAAGCCCTAAGAGAAATTTATTGCCTCTAAATCTCGAGAAGAATTTTGTTAAAGGGACGGTTTACCTGCAAATACGAATTGTTGGATTCCTTCTAAAACAATGTTCACAAAGTTATTTATAACAGTTCAAAGTCCTACATAAACCTACATTTTAGTCAGCTGCATTTTATTTAAAAAATAAAATTCTTGTCAAGGAAATTAATTACTTAATTATTAGTTATTAATTAACTACAGTGGATCAGTGCCATTTTAGAGAACCATAAATCAGGTAGGATGAGGAGGGCAGGGTGAACCCACAGCGTTTAAAACCTACTCCCATAGTCTTCATTTCATACTCCTGCAGCACTTCCCCCAACAGCAGTCTGGTAGATTCCAATCAATGACGAGATTGTCCCCATCAGACCCACCAACCATGTAGGAGAACAACCTCCCCAGAGAAAACCAGGGGGCATCCAGTGGATGGCATTAGTCAGATCGCAGAGACAGCCGATCGTGCATAAAAGATCTGACCTCATCTGAAATTTGATTTCACCTCGGCTTCTTGGCAGACCACTCCTGTAAAGTAACACAATTAGATATGACAAAACATTTTATTAGTTATATACATTATTTACAACTCTATGTGTGATAGGCATATGATGGAAGATGAAAGGACTGATTGTAGTGGAAGGCTACCTTTTGGTAGAAGAAACACTAAGAGGAATATTTATCTAAACTGGAGCAGACAGAATCTGGAGCATTGTTCATAGTAACCAATCAGCTTGTGGATATTGAAAGGACTGCTAGTTTGAAATCCCATAATCTTCTTGTAGGCTTTGAAATGACCTATGAACTTGAGACTGATAAAGATGATGGACATATACTGTATTATAGCATGTTTATTTAACAACTCAAACTCCTCTAGTTTTTGAATTTTATGATAGTTGTTATTATCCCATATGGGTGAAAATTTAGAGTAGGGTTAGAACATGAGTTTTTTTCCACCTCTATCCTAAAACCCACTTAACAGGCAACATTTAAATAAACATGTTATTCTAGTGACAGAGTTACTTTAAAACCACTGTGGCATATTTCTATACCAGCGTCTATCCCTACTTAGGCCACTCTTCTGCATTTTGAATTGAGCTTATAAAATTCCATTCTAAACATGAAGTTAAAGTTCCCACTCAGTACCGTAACCCCAAAGTCATTCAGGTTATAGCATTTGCAACATATCTTGTAATGAATGAATGATAGAAATCACCAGCACTCCGTAAATGAAATACAAAAAAACTTCCATTTATTTGGACTAAACGTCACATATATTAAATAATCCAACGTTTTGGAACCACACAGGGTCCCTTCATCAGGGCAGAAATGTGACCGTCACATTTCTGCCCTGATGAAGGGACCCTGCGTGGTTCCGAAACATTGGATTATTTGATATGTGTGACGTTTAGTCCAAATAAATGTACATTTTTTGTATTTCATTTACGGAGTGCTGGTGATTTCTATCATTCATTGACTGCTGTGCACGGCGCCATCCGCGATTGTCACTGCGAGCATCACTGTTTTCCGCTTGGACCGGGAGCGCTGTGAGGAGTGCAGGGGGACCTATCGTTTTCTATATCTTGTAATGATACGCATTCCAAACCACTCATATGTCCAATGCCTTGTGCATAAAAAAAGACAGCCTAATTACATCAATTAGGTATCTCAATGTTCCAATATTGCAAAAGGTGCCTAGACAAAAGGACTTAAGTCCTTTGTGCAGACTTTTCAATATTGGTTACAGAATCAGCTGCAGAAATAGGCTTCTAAAGGAAAATCAGTTTTGTTGTGGTTAATTACAGGTATGTGCTTTCCATTTGCTGAATGTGGTCACAAGCATGGGTTCGGAGGGGATTCCTACTGATAAGCTTAGGAGGGCATGTGGGTAGGTATTTTTCATCCAGAAAAGTATGACACAGAAATCTGGCTATATATGTGGCTAAGTAGCCAAGACATCTAAAATATCTAGAACCTTTATTTCTAAACATGCTTCAATGCCAATTACAGGCAACTTACTCAGAATGTTTTCCTTTAGATCTTCTCAGTTTTAGTAAATTTCTTAAAGACCTAATCAGGAAATAAGGAAAATCCACATAAATTAATTTAACAATGCCATTTGTTCGTCATTTTAAAATAAATACTATAAAAAAGGAATAAGTGCGTTATTTCCATCTGCTTCCTGCAAATGGTAACTGCCTAGCTGTCCCACTCATCATCAAGCTTGACAAATGAATGAGCCATCGACTTGGAACAAGCATTCAAAATGGATGTTGAAACTTGACAGGCCATATACTTGTTTCAGATTAGCGAATATGCTGAAGATGACAGCCAACCAACTAGCTTTTAAAAAAAAAAAAAGGGGACAATAATGGCAGACAGTTATTTTTTTTTCTAATGACTGGCCTTAAAGTGAATCTGGTCTGAAAATAATATAGAGGATGCTACTTCTTCTAAAAATGGTAGTTGCCTCAACACTTTAAGACACTGACTGGAACAAGCATGCAGGCCAGGAAAGTCAGAACTCCGAATTTGTTACTGTTTGGAGACAGTGACTTAAATAGTACTGAAGTCAATGTCTTATTATGACAGTCAAGTAACCAGTATATCCAGAAGCAGCTTCCCTACCGATTTCCTTTAACGAGTTTGTCATCGGCTCAGTGCCCAGCTCTACCTAAAGACAGGCTCATTTATTTAAACTGTATAGTTTTCTCAAAGGGAGCTCAAACACAAGCAACACATAATGAACAAATTCTCTTCATAAGCTGCAACATCTTTCTGCTGCCTCTGTTTCCTCACTTATTTGCAGAGAGAAACAGTGTAAACTCATATCGAAAAATAAAAAAATATATCTGGCAACAGGTTTTCCATATTCTGCCAACACAACCCATTAAAGAATAACTCACTTAAAACCTGCTTGGGTGTAATGTGGGGTTGTCGGTGCAATATGCAAACAATGCTCATATTTGTTTCAGCTCCCAGTCAACAACTGGTTTAAAGTGTAGTTCCACATTGCAGCCAAAGTGGGATAACACCTATTTCATATTTGCTACATGTTCCCATTCACATAGCATAACTTTTAAAAAATCTAGAAAAAAATTGATACTTGCTCTTTTTCTGACAACTGAAGTTTTTCCGTTCTCTATAATTTCAAGGAGGAGCTTGAGCTGGGTGGGTAGTTCACCAAAATTAACACAGTCTCTACTATGCTAGTAATTCTCATTATTAGTGGTAAACTAGAACACTGCCTGTCCCAACAAAGGATTAAAGATCTAGTAGCATTGTATGTTAATAAGAGGAAATGCAGTCCGTCCCCCTTTTGTCTTGGGGACAGGCTCATTCACAAAGTATTCAGAGTAGCTTTGCGGTCTGCTCAAAGGCCTCCTCCAAAGAAGCAGCTAAAAGGTAAGATTTATTTTTTATTTTTAGGTATGCTGTGTGAATAGGAACAAATAAACATATAGTGGGGTTCTCTTAAATTTCACTGCAAAAGTATACATATACTTTAAAGTTCTGGTATACTGCAGTTCTAGAACATATCAGGATAGTCTTTGTTGTTAATAGTAGTCACTGAATACTCAACAGCTATTGTTTTTACCCGAAAACCAAAATTAAATTAAATTTTTCTTATTCTGCCCCTGTTATGAGTGAACAGGAAGCCTCCTATACTCAGTGTTCTTGTCCATTCATAAACTGAGGATATAGTGGGAGTTATTGTGTCCACAATCATGAATGAACAGCAAGTGATGTAGAGCACTTCCTGTTCTTTCATCATTGGGGGACACAGTAAACATACTATCTCATCAATTATTTACAAGCACTCAGCGATCAGCTGATTGTTGAGTGCTTGTAACCGATCTCCATCCTTATTCCTTCGGCTGTCACAGGAGGCTGAGTGGGCAGTGCGGGGAGGAGAGCTCGGCCTCCTGTGCAGATGACAGCTGTCTCCTCCCGGTTTCCATCCTGATCTGCCTGTCAATCATTTGTGTTGCAGTGCTCATGGGTTAACAAATATGCTGACTGTAAAGGAAATATATGAGCTTATCAGCCTATTCCTTTACTGTCCATTCACAGGCTGAGGGTAGGTACAAGACCTAATTTTATTATTTTTGAACGCAGCAGAGCAAAATCAGGTGACTAGGCTGGCTGGGTATTGTATGGGCAGAAATACAAATCCTATGGCAGGTAAAACAGCCTGGAGTTCAGATTCAAATTGTAGACTAAATATGCATATGCACCTGCATATTTTTTATGTGAAATACTCTGTTAAGTTATTCTTTAAAGGTTTGTGGGAACATACCTTATTATTCCTACTAAAAGTGAAAGACCCCAAAGGGCAGTGCTCGCAGTCCACCAAATATCAGATTTGGTGTGAATCACCCCAGCATCAGCAGCCCAGGCCACATGCTCACACGGGTAGTAGAGCTGATCAAATATATTGCCAATGACAGATATCCAGCGGATAAGACGGTCCTCCTCCTGGTCAGGTTTAAAAAGGTAAAGAAACAACGTAAGTAAAATGCTTCACACTTCCCCACGACTCCTGTGTATTTTTTTTATTCAGCCCAGTTATGTGTGGCTCTGCTCACACAGCCACATCATTCATTCACAGGTCCAGTCACAAGATCAGGGGGGAAAGAAAAAAAAAAACTGCGGCAGAGGGTCTTGTAGATCCTCAATGAAGTACATGTGCAAGGACATCACTACACGTGTAGTCCATTGATAACTTCTTCCGCCTTCACGACCTTTTAATTTTTGCAATATTGGTGCATTTATTTATTCTTTTTGCAAAAAGTAGAATATGCCTTTAATGACTGGATATAATTAACTTTTTATAAAAATATATGTTGCAAGTACTAGTCAATGTAAACCTTTGGATAACGAAAAAAAAAAAAACCACGTGTTGAAGCCCGTGCATTAACGCACCACAAAAAGAGTGAATGGGCCTCTTAAACTGGACTGCAATCAAGGCCTGCTTATAAAGCCAGGACCCTTTCCACTTGTTAAACTGAAGAAAAAAAAACCCGCGGGGGGGAGGGAGAGTGGGAAATATACTAACGTTTCCCCTGGCTTCCATACTGCAGGGGCTGATATCATCATCCTTCTGACAGGATCCTGTGTACTACCAAGTAGCTCAAATCTTGCAAACACACTGCGTGATCACCATCTTGCAAGATTTGGCCTACTCTGCTTTCCTCGTTATCTCACCAGGATTGTGTTGTCACCCTAGTGCTTGCAAAAGGAGGAGAGGATATTTATGTATATTAACTAAACTTCCTCCCCACCCACATTTTCTTTCAGTTTAGTGCAGTGTCTTAGCAAGGGGAAGGAGGCCATCACTAAATAAGTGGACCTTGCTATTTTAATTCAGAACCTAAGCCTTAAGAGTATACTAATCCAATATGCAGTACACTTTTCTCATCCTGTGCTATAAGCAACAATGCTGATTCCTTGCGTAAGCCACTGAACTTAAAATTAAAGGAGCCAGGTGGAAAATTGTGGATGAACAGTAGCTTCATCCAGTCAGATGCAGTCACTGTTTGAGTATTCAGACATTCGCGAGTATATGCCTGGTACATGCATGGCAGGGGCAATTAAATTGATTTTTAAATCGGAACATGTGTGGCTAGCTTAAAGTGATGTTAAACTCAGGATTTAAACCTTAAAAATGCATTCAAGTACCTTAACTAACTATGCTGACACTGTCCTTCCTTCTGGAGGGTGGCTGCTTTTGTTCCCCATGGTCCCTGTGTGTATTGTAAAGTAGTCACCGCTCCAAGCTCACTCCTGAGATGAATACAATCTCAATACAAATGAGTAAACTAAACATGAGACTGTACTCCATCATGGGAATGAGCTTGAGGCTGTGGTTACTTTACAACACACACAGGGACCATGGGGAACAAAAGTAGCCACCCTCCAGAAGGAAGGACAGTGTCAGCAGAAATTCAATAATGATTTGAGGATCTACAGCTGAGTGATACACAAATAAGATACATTTTTGTTAATCGTTTGGGTACTTTAATGCATTTTTAATGTCACTTTATAATAAAATAAAGTCTTCAATAACAGAAGCTGAGAAAATAAATATACACTTCTTTTTATAAATTAAGAATTCTAGGACTTGAATTCACATACTTCAGTTTTAACATATACAGTGAAGCTAATAAGAAAGTTGACAACTTGACAAAGAAGTAAACATTCTTAAAGCGACAGGGAGTTGCCTAAAAAAAAGTCTAAACAGCTGTTCCCTGCAACAGAAGAGCTCTGGTGGCCTGTGTCCCCTGCCTTTGCTCCATTCTAGCAACATGGCATTTGTCAGGGAGTGTCCTATGCCTGTGTTCCCCGCCATGTGTTGTAGTTCCATCCTTTGACCCCTAGATCACTGCTGAGTACTGTAATTATGTTGGAGTCTGAGGATGGGACCATAGCGTGTGGCGAGGGACATAGGTATCTGGCATTGCCAGAAGTGTTGAGTGCTGAAAAGTCTAATAACAGCTTCAGCGCTAGAATTAAGAGAAGGTACTGGCCACCAGATGAGTAATATTAATAGCTTGTCTAGTGCAGGGCACTGCCATTTAGATTATTTTAGATGACTGACAAAGTTGCTTTAACAGACTATTGTCGTACTGGTAAAGGATTTTAGAATTGAGACATCATCTTCCCCACATGCTGCTTTTTCAGAGGGTTTTCATCAGGTGGTGCACAAACATAATGGTTAACTCACTTTTTTTCCTAGGCCATACTGAAAAGAATATGTAAGCATAGACAGGTCATCAAACAGCCTCAGTACAGTCCGGCAGTGGCTTAGCTGTGAAGCTATAATGAGAAAGCTTTTTCCATACTGCTGTTGGTCTCCATGCTTCTGTGTAATGACACCACCAAGTAACTGGCAGCTGTAGCACAATGTTCGCATCTATGAAAAGAATATACAAACAGTCACTCAAATAAGCTGCAGGTAAAGCTTCTTATTAAAGTCACGATAAGCACTGTTAAACGTATGAAAAGTTTTGAGTACAATATTTTCTCTCAAGTCATCTTCCAGGGCAGCACCTGAGAGAGAGAATCCACCCACCTAAAACAGGAAAACACATCATCCACAATTAAAATAAAAGGGGCGGTACTGCCCCACCACCTCAGTTTATTGTGTTTACTCTTGCCTAACAGGAGCATCGTAACCGTTTGTTATTTTGTCCATAGGACGGTGTGCCAGTTGCAGGGGCCTCCCAGTGTGTGCTCCCCCATGAATCAGGGACAGTGGACCTGGGGGGTTGCATGCCTGGGCTTGCCTATTATGGGACCCTCCCTCCTCATCTATCCCTGAGGTTTCTGATGCGCCTTGAGGAAAAGCAACCATCCCCGGGTGCATATCGGATCTAGCAGAGCTTTCCCTTACTCACATTTGGTTCGGGTCAGAGTTCTCCTCTGCATTGCCTTGAATGGGGCGGTTTGCCATCCATGCTCCCTATGTATGCTGCTATGTTGTGGATATTGATATCCTGTAGCATCCTGGGCCTCCTTGAATGGACAGCTATGCGATGGAGTGGTGAGTACCCCTGGCGCCAGCATTCACAGACGCCAGGGAGGGAGTGCAGCGGGCGAGGGACGGTGCCACAAGCAGTCATGAACATGAAGTGTTCCACAAGGCTTCCTCTGGTCGGCAGTGCTACACCAGGCAGCCTGATTTCTAGTATTTCATTCACGGACACTAATGGCTCCAAAGAAAGGTTGGAAGTCTTAAAAGGAAGTCTCCTTCCTCCTACCACCCATACTGGGGGCAGGGCACAGTGGGGGGACCCTTGGGAGGTGATCCTCCTTTTGGGTGTTGGTTGCTGAGGGATGTAGTGCCTCTTATTAACACAGGGTTTGTATGTGTTATGTGTTGCTCCACCAGTGGTGTGGCTGATTGGAGGCAAGAGCTGCAGTGCAAACACATTTTCAATCTGCAAAGCAGCAAACCCCAAACAATTAGGCAGCCTAGTCACTCCTTGCTACACTGATGTGGTCAGTGTTATGCAGGAGTATTGGGGACTTTCAACAATTTCACGCTTTCGGAACCTCCTTTTTTGTGTTGGAACATATATAAGGAGAGTTAACAGCCAAGGATGTTTTTTTGTACCTTTGGGTCACCTTTTGTCTTTTGGCCTTTGGGTCATATGCAACAGCCTATCTGTAAAAGCACGGCAAATCTAGGCCGTTAACAAATGTTTTACAGACTCCTTTGCCAAAAAACATTGGTGTGTGGCACCGGAGGCTTATTTTATGCCATTTTTAGCTGCACACTCTGTTCAAGATGGTTCACAAGGAGAGACTGAGCGTGATGTTCAGATCTTGATAGTGCTGCAGACATATTGTGGTTTATATATGCTTATTAGCATATGCAGATGTTGGACTTCTGATTGGACTAGCACAGTGCCACAGGGCTTAATGTTTTTTGTTGCCGTTAGCAACTATGATTTACCACCTGGCTGGGGCTGGTGTGAGCTCACAAGCTGGAGGGCTACGATTGCTCTCACCTGAGCAGGGGCTGGGGGAATGTTCCTTCAGCCCTAATTAAGTGAACTTCACTTTCTTTTACTTGCCTGTTAGAGCATGGAAGCATAAAGATGCAAATCCCAGAGAAAGGGAAATGCTGGATGAGGTTACTTTGTCTTCAAGGCTTTACTTCCTTGGCAGATATGAACAACCTCTAAAGCTTTTATGAGACTTAACTCTCTATATGTGGTTAAGTCGTTGTCTCTCTGTATAAGAGCAAGCATCTAACCTTTTCATGGTGAGGGTTATTTTTTTCCAGTCTACAACTGCTCACAGGCTGAGCTGATCCATTAATTGCATCGGCCTAGGCGTGTCTGCCTCACAGGTGTGGGGCCTTTTTACTGATTGCTCTGGTTGCAACCTTTGGGTTTCTTGTACATCTCAGAGTGTACAGCACTTTCGCAGTCCATGATGAGGGCCTCTTTAGCTGAATTTCTAGCGCTTTATCTCACTTGGATGGACGCTATATGTATAAGCATTTAGTGGCTAAGGCCTGTTTCACACCTGGGCGTTTTACAGCGCTGATCGACACGCTGTAAAACGCCCAGCAAGTGAAATCCCATTATTTCCTATGGGTATGGTTCCCACCTGGCCGTATTTCAGTGCGTAGGAACGCGCTGAAAAACGCCCTACGGCCAAAGAAGTGCAGGAGCTTCTTTGGGGCGTATTTTCCGCGCGTATCCACTAGGATACAACTGGATAGCCCCCGTAAACGCACGTTTGTTGCGCGTTTCATTGACCGCAAATCACGGTAAAAACGCGCATCAAACGCGCATATTACAAACGCCCAAGTGTGAACCCAGCCTAAGTGAAGGGGCATGCAGCGTCCTTTGCCATATGCTGACACAGCAATAGAAGTCTTTTCTCTGGTCTACATCTCTTGCACAGCTTGATGCATATATTGGTAGTCAAGCACCTGTAAGCATTTGTATGAGTATGCTGTCTGCAAACTATCCTATTTACCTCTTTAAGGAAAGACATAACTGGGTTTCTTATGGTTATGAGCGTCAGTAGTGTGCACACCTTACCTATTGGTATTATTGTACTGTTTTCAAAATAAGCAATTTATTGCTTTAGTGAAAGCATCTTTGGTTCATGAGGTAGTTCTGGAACTTAGTGTTGCACATACCTCATGTGTTGGTATCACTATACTGTCACTGGAATAAACACTTTATTGCTTTAGTAAAAGCACCATTTGTTCATGAAGTGGTTAATGAATCTCAGTTGGGCATACCTTATGCATTGGTGCTACTATGCTGTCTCTATGATGACACATTTACTGCTTTCAGTGAAAGCATAACAGGTACATGGGATAGTTATGAATCACAGTGGTTGCGCATATCTTGTTTATTGGTATTACTATACTGCCGCTGAGATAACCAATTTATTTGCCTTAGTAAAATAATTTTGATTTAGGAGATGGTTAGGACCCTCAGTATGTGCATACTTTATGTTGATATTACCATACAGTCCCTGAAATAAACCAATTTTTGCTTTAGTAAAAGGATATTGGTTCAGGAGATAGTTGAGACTCCCAGTACTGCATTTTGGCCTGTTCAGGGCCTTATGAAGACTGCAAAGCAGCATAATACCAATGCCTGGTGACTTCGGCTATCTATTGACCTTTCATCCTCCAAAGGATTTCTGGCATGCTCCAATAAGACATTCGACCTGGGAGAGCTGAGGTTTCCCCAGAGCATATTTGGAGGAAAGCCACTAGGTCCAGTGCCAACCTCTGATATTGCACTGCAGAGTGGTCCTCTACTGCTGATACCAGTCTTTTGGCAGGGAGGAGGCGCTTGGAAGTTGTCCCCCTCGAAAAAGTATGATTTCTTGCCTAATCTCTCAGGTGCTGCCCTGGAAGATGACTTGAGAAAAAGCAAGTTAGGTACCTGGTAACTTCTTTTCCAGGAATCTTCCAGGGCAACAGGGATTCCCCACCTGCCTGGTGAGGGGTGTGTTCAACATAGTAATAATAAAAACTATCTGGTGGTCCTTCTGCCTATGGTTCTTTTGTAATACTGAGGTGGTGGGGCAGTACCGCCCCTTTTATTTTAATTGTGGATGATGAGTTTCCTGTTTTAGGTGGGTGGATCCTTCTCAGGTGCTGCCCTGCAAGATTGCTGGAAAAAAAAACAGTTACCAGGTACCGAACTTACTTTTTTTTTTTAGTTTGGGGGCAGTATTAGAACCCCGGTCAGGTTTTCTGCTATCTGCAGCTCTGCTAGTGAGTGTGCCCCTCACTTCTGGTTACAGTGACAATCATTTTCACTAGGGATGCACCGATACCGATACTAGTATCGATATCGGTGCTGATTCCGAGTATTTGGGCGAGTACTCGTACTCGCCCAAATGCTCCGATGCCTAGCACAAGTACTTCCGGTATCAGAAAGCCGGGCAGCACGTCATTACACGCTGCCCGGGTTTCCCGATTGGCCAGGAAGCGGCTCCATGCTCTCTCATCGCCTCATGAGGTAAGGTTAACTTACCTTAGTATGTGCAGCCTGTCACCCCCGGGGCCTCTCCAGCGAGATGACGAGGGAGCATGAAGCCAGCTTCCCGGCCAATTAGAAAGCAGGGCGTCACGTCATTACACGGCGCCTGGCTTCCTGATTGGCCGGCCAGACGACTCCGGCTGGGTACCAGAGGAAGGCCGCGTTCTCGCTGGAGAGGCCCCGGGGGTGACAGGCTGCACATACTAAAAAGGTAAGAGGGGACTTTCTTGTTAATCGGGAAGCCGGGTGGCGAGTCTTTATACGCCACCTGGCTTCCTGAATGGGACTTCCGTTACTCGGTAATTGGTATCAGCGAGTACCGGAAAAAAATTTACGGTACTCGTATTCGGTACCAAAATACCGGTATCGGTGCATCCCTAATTTTCACCAACCAGGCAGTGAGAAAAAATCTGCAGCAACTCAAAGATCAGCATGAAAGCTGGACAGCAGCATGGAAGCCTACATATTTTCTTTAATTCCACGACATAAAAGTGATTCTGTTTTCAGTAGATTAAAGAGAACATTCAGGGCCCATTCACACCACATCCAGATCATCTCCAGACCAGACCAGATTGTTTCCGGACCCAAAATACATCCTAAATGTATCCCTAGGCGGGAGGGGGCATGGTTGTGCACTGAAGTCAATGGCACCGCAGCCACGCCTCCTGCCCGCAGTGCAATTGCCTGCACCCGAATGCGTGGCACATTAGTCCCTGCGTTCAGGTCCAATGCGATCTGCAAAAAATAGCGCATTCAGCATTTTTGCAGATCGCATTGGAACGGAATGTGTTAGTTGAACATTAGGAACCTTTTCATTCCAGTCACATTACGAACCAGGGTCCCTTTTGATGCCAGTGGTGAGTAGCACTGCTGTTCTCTGCATCAATGTACTGTGAGCCCAGGCTGACATGATAACATACCCCAGTGTGTGTGTGTGTCCATGATGGCCTGAGCTCACAGAAAGTGGTTTCATTGATGTTGGGTGTAATTTAATCATCACACTACTGACAACACAAAATACTTTTCTTTAGTAGAATAGAGAAAGGCTAGATCCCCTATCAGATCTTTTTCTATTTCTGTCTCTGTCCTTGTTGCAGATAATCCGTCATTCTCTGTCTGGTAAAACTGTTTCCAGCAGGATAGGGTGTGAGGGTTCATCTCTCTTGCCCTCCTTCACATCAATGCAATGCAGGAATGCATTAGACACTGTTTGGTGATCTGCAGTGCCATTATTTCTTAATAGCACCCCAGTACACCTAGCCATTGCATCTGCGTTGCATAACACCACAATGCATGGTAACTCTAAATGGCAATGGGACTTAAAAAAGGGTCATGCACTTCCTTAGTGGGATTTAGATGTGGTACTAATGTACAGCTATGTACAGGCACAAATCCCTGGATGCAGGTTTGTGTTCATTGATTTACATCTGTACACATATGTGGCTGCGCACAAGTATCACAGTTTACCCACATACAGCTGTTTACTTCTTTAGGAGGCTGTATGCAGTACCTGTGGCTTGCTGGCGGGGGGGGGGAAATACACTGGAATTTATATTGCACAGGCTCAGCCCCCTATGTGCATGAGCCTTAAGTGTATACAGTAAACTCTCAGTTATCCAGAATTCAACTAACCATAACTCTCATCTAACCAGTAAAAAAAACAAAACCTGTGTGCTCACTATTTTGCTGATCTGTAGCATGTATTCTCCTGGAACTATTCGTGCGTCTATTTGTCTTAATTTGCTTTTGATTACTGCATTTCAATATTAAAAAGGAGAACTATGAGGTGAGTGAAAAATCACTCAGCCTCATAGTTCGAGACGTGTGACAATTAAACTGTCACGTCGGCTCAATAGATCGGGAAGTGAGCGAACACATACCGTCGCTCGCTCACTTCTCGATCATGTCCCTGCAGGGATTACCCCCCTCCCCGATAGCGCTGACTGGCGGAACGAACGGGGAGGGGGCGGGCACAGCTGGCTCTGCCTCTAGATAGGCAGAGCCAGCTGTCAATAACACAGCTGGGTGGATCTCGACAGTAATGTCGGGATCCGTCCTGGCTGCGGCGGTCACAGTATACTGCGAGCTGTAGCTTGTGATATACTGGAGCTTTGGGTCACGGGAAGACGCTAGTTTTTGTCCTCTCGTGACCCTTAGGAGAACTATGGGAAATAGCACTGACCCCATAGTTCTCCTTTAATATGAAGTCAATACAGAGTTTATATTATGGTATAGTATGGGGTATGGCATTAGTTAGACCTATTTATAATAGTAACACTCAAGTAACCAGAAACTACATTTATCCAAAATCGTCCAATCCCTGTAGATGCTGGATAACGGGAATTTACTGTATTTTGTTTCCATTACTTTCAGTAACCTTTGTAACTGCATGCTGAATGATGTTGACATCCAGTCAGATGTTCAGCTGTTTTGCAATCCATTTCCTTAGTGACTGTCAGAATAATTTAGATGTATGTGCAAGCCTACAATATGCCATATGAAGGGAATTATAGCAGTGAACAAGAAAACCAAAAATAACAACCTGGGGGTAGTGATGTGCATGGGCTTGGAGTGAACTAAGTTTGCCCAAGCCTGTGCAGAACTGTCAGCAACACCTTCCCCCCAGTATTCCCTGACCCTTTGTTACATATAGCTGCGGGGCAGCAAATACTCGTATATACGTAAGAGGGGTGACTCTGAGAGTTTTGTGTGGGCAAAAATCGGTTCCCATTAAGCCCATGCACATCACTACCTGGGAGGAATTTTATGAAAACAATTATGGAGAAAGAAAAAGTAGGAGGTTCAAGGCTTTCAGACACCAGCCTGCAAAGCTAAGCAGTTTTAGGGTACAAGCTGGTGTCCATTGGGTGCTGGTGGGTGGTATTTTTGTGCATTAAGGCCTGGTTCACACCTAGGCGACATCGTTTTTGCACGTTTGAGCATACGGCAAAACATTTTTTGTTTTTGTGAGCAGATTGTAGCTCATTGATATAAATGAGAGAAAGTGCATAAAAACGCAAAAAAAACGTTTCCTGTTGAGTCTATGGGGCCAAAACGAGCTGTAATATACCAAAAAAAAAAGAGTTCCTGTACTTTTTCCAGCGACAGGCGTTTTACTTATTGCAACAAAATGCTCAGATGTGAACAGGGTCATAGCAATGAGCGTTTTTTTAGGGCAGAAATAGCACTACAAAGTGTGAACCATGCCTTAGGGCCCAATGACACCATATCCGGAACAGAAGGTTTCTTTTTTTCTGCACTCTGTTCACACCAGTTTCTGGGCTCTGTTCACACCAGTGCGGTCCATTCCGGTGCAAGGAAAAAAATTACTGCATGCACTATTTTTTCTGGTCTGGAATGCACCAAAATGCATGTAAACGCATTAAAAAAAAAACACATGTCAATGCACTGGAACACACCTGAAAGCCCATTCAGGCTTTAAAACCCACCAGAACACAAAGAATGTTCTGCATTTGCATAAAAATTTGCAGATCTGGTCCGGACATGGCGTGAATGGGCCCTTACAAAGCAAGACACTAATTTCTAACATTGGTGCATAGAAATGGATGGGCAGAGACTTCAGGTGATCTTGTGTACATGAATGCACATAGAAAACTGTTGTTCACCATAGGCACTTTGTAGAGAATTGGGTTACTCAGGGACAGAGCAATGCAGGTCTCCATACACAGTGTGAATGAGCAATAGATCTATTAGCTATTGTGGTGACAGCACCCTGCCCACACTAATACACTCACCATTCTGTCTCTCCCTCTGTATGACTCCAACACATTCACCAGTCCAGCTACTGCTTTGGGCATGCTGACAGTTTACTAGTAAACAAGGTGACATGGACTGCACGTTGTCTCTCCAGGAGCTTAGGACGATCTTCTCATACTAAACACACATATACACTCTGTACACACTTCAGGACTTCGGACTTCTGCGTGCCAAGCCTCTCTCTCACATTCCCAGCACACTTTCTGCTCCTCTTCTATTGGTTGAAGAACACAGTCACGTGAGCAAGGATGGGTTAGTACTCCTCAAAGAGCACAGTGTCACATCCAGCGTAGGTGGATTGGATCCATCACAAGTCTGTACAACTACAGGACACAAGTAGTTTCAATGCACTTCATTGATGAAGGCCAACAAGCATGAAACAGTGTATTCAGTTGGGGAAAAAAATGGCTTTACAATATAAGGTTGTATCAATGGTTATTATGAAACTGAAATGTAAAACTTGCTTTGATTCATCAATTCTTAAGTAGACAAGGTCACGTTGCCTATTCGAGGTCATGTGACAATGTCTCCTAATCCCCCCCAGGAAGGTATTTATACAGATGTGTGCTCCTTTGCCTCCACCTGCTCCATCAATGCCCTCGCTCTCTAGCTTCCACGCAATGGGGATCATGTGACCTACCCAATGTGACAATGGCCGGACCTAAGCCACCAGTCAACAGACCCAAACACTGTTATGTGGGGAAAGGGGGGCAGTGACATCACCCATGGGGGTATGGATTGGTGAGTGTATCTTGCTTGGTTGTGGGTTATCATGAGACACTATCACTTTGCCTTGAAGGGCAGTGTCTCTTTTGCCTCTTTCACATGGGGTGTACACCAGTGGCGGAGTTAAGGAACAAAGGGCCCTGGTGCAAGATTTTTTTTTGGGGCCCCCCCCCCCCCACAAAAACACACACAACAAAGCCACCCCCCT